TTCCTTTTTTTAGTAAGAATTATTACCCAGAATTTTTCAATTCTTAGGATTTTTCCAGCCTAAAAAATATATCCAATTATTTCGAATTTTTGCTCAAATTTTTCTTATGTGAATAGTCGGATATTGCAAATCGATTGAATATTTCGATCATTACTTCCGTTTGAACAGTTCGTATAAACTATTCGAACATTTCTATTTTGAATAATTCGATTACACAATTTACTTGAATCTGTGTCTAACAATGATATTAAATATTCGCTCTTATTACTTCGAGAAAAAAGCACGTATAAAAATCATTTACCTTGTCTTATTAAAATATTTAAAAATTTCCTAAATTAAATATTTTCAAATTAACTAATAATAGCACTTATACATTATTTCAATTTCCTGTATAAATTTCTTTTAATAATACCTACACCTTTTTTCTCTATAAAAGTTACGCGCGGCAGACAAAATCCAGAACTAGTGTTGAAAACGTGCTTTTCAATAACGGTCTGGGAAAGTTTTCTGAATAGATGCATATAGACAATACCACGTGGCAACGATAATTTTTGAAAGCTTCTACGGAATTAGAATAACGGAAAAAAAGAGAAGCTAGGGAAAAGGGAACAGAGGAGAAGAGAGAAAGAAAAGTGCGAAAAAAGGAAAGTATGGTGTTGCTTTTGAAAAGACGCAGATAAACATGAGAAGGAAAAAAATTCGTTTACCTTTCTTTCGTAATCTCGGTTGGGCACGACGAGCCAAGGTAGATCGGCTACGTGGGCGCGGAAGCTGTCTTCGAAGTCGAGCACGTCGGTAACGTTGCTCCAGAGTACCACGTGCACCACCTCGAATCTCTTCTTTCTCTCGCCGCCGTCCGCGCCGTTGACATTTGTGTAAAGCTCGACCAGCTGACGCGTGAAGTCGTCGCAGGTCGCACCGGGATCCACGAAGCTGAAGTACATGCCGATGATCTCGCAGGCCGGCCGGCCATCCTCGTGGACGAGCGACGCGATCGTCGAGTCGATCGACTTCCTCGCGTCGTTAACCTGGTTGCAGCGCACGAGTTGCTTGCCAAACAGTCGCTGCTGCCAGCATAACGGCTTACCGGTCGACGTGGGCTTCTTCGCGGCTTTCGCCGCGGATACCTGTTCTCCGACACATGCAGCCATCACGCTTTGCGCGACGCGACTAATGTAAGGATTGAGTTTGCCTCGCTCGCCGGCGACGCGCGCCGACGAGTCTTCTCGCTACGGAGAAGGGGTTGACGAATCCAGACGAATATGACGTCACTCTAACCTACCATCGTGCGAAAACAGGAAAACAGCATACCTACTCCAACCTCACATCGATACAGACTGAACACTGTCACTGAACTGACATTGACAATTGACAAAATGAAATGCAATGCTGCCAGAATGAAGACTCAACGATTCAACTTTTGAGTCACTCAAGCAACATACAATATGCAACCTATACTTTTTTTCTGTCACTTCCTTATCAAACTGGCGATAAAGACGATAGGCGACGCTACTCGCGCTTCTTTTGATAAGCGTGACAGCATAAAATATTTTTTACAGCCTTTTTGTTGTATTAAAGCAATATTGTTTGAATTAATTTTTTTTTGTTATTCAAATATACTGCATACAAAAGTATTCACATAAGATAATCGAAGAGTAAATATATTTCATTAAATTATATTTATTAATTTAACTAATATATTTATATTAATTAATATTTATATTAATTAATTTCATTAAACTATTTTAATTAATTTAACTAATTCAATGTAATTAATTAATTCAATTAAAAAATATCTGTTAGATCCCCAAGTGGAAAAACTACTTGGAATCTTTCAGGAGAGAAATAACATTGCAATTCAATATAATTATCAATAGTTTGCCCGTCATTCCTGTCGTGACGCAGACTGATTCATATTTCGCTGACTCGCGCGACTTCGGACACGATTGAACTCGAGTGTACTCGAATCGTGTAACGTAACCAATCGTCTTCTAAGAATGCCACGCGCCATATTTCGATAGTATCGAAGTCTGAATCATATGAATATTCGCTTTCATTTTGGAGCAATATATTTATCTTTGCTTTTATTTGATTAGAACATTACAAGAGCGCGCTACGTGCGTTTATCATACCACATTTAATTTTCTCTCATGCAATTAATTTTTATATGCTATTGCTATTGTACGCAAATACATTAATATAGTATATCGTTTTATAATAGCCAATATATTTTATAATATATAATATATATATTTTAAATTTCTAGATTATTCTTAAAAAGACAGTAATCAAAAAGATATAAATATACATAATGTTTGATGTTTAAATATCGAAACTAAACACATTTCAGCATGTAACATAGAAATATCTTTTTACTTTAAACATTATTTTTATATACAAATTTTGTATACAATCTTGCTAAATAATGACACTTGATAAAGACACATTGCATGAACTGTACAAAGTTATATATTTGTATACACAAATCATGTTAATTATTAATGATTGTTAAACATAAAATTAATTTAGCGAACTTGTATTCCTTTACAAAAATAGTATTTTCATTTGCAGCGTACGACTACATTATGCAACTACACGTATTACATGTTTCTTATAATCGAGAATTTGCATCAGCATGCACAGCCAATCATAATGCGCTGCGATTGGACAAAAAGTTATGCATACTAATAAGCATGGAGAATAAAGAAAACACTATATACATAGTGTAACGATGTAAACAATGATAATGTCAGTACTTACATAAAGGCATTTAATTACACTATGAATACGCAAAATTCATGCATCAGCATTGAAACAGAGTATGCAAAACATTATTAAAGTCGGTTTTATAATAGTTAAAAGGTTCCCTTTTTAGCTGCATTTTTTGCATTTACGATAAAATATGTACATCCATAAAAAAAAAAAAAAAAAAAAAAAAAAAAAAAAAAAAAAAAAAATGTAAAAGATACATCTCTCGATCGACCTTATAATAATATTAATGGTGTCTTGATAAAATATATTGATCGTATAATATTCTCGTTTAATAAGATTTTGTGCGTCACTACATAAATTTCGGCGCTTATTTTAGAACACACCCTCGCAAATCGCACGATATCCCTTTGCAGGGACGTAGCAAGAAATTATAAAGTATAGCGTTTCCTCTCTCTCTCTCTCTCTATTAATCGATCGTATTTAGAATAGTTTCAGAGTTTCCGTCGATCTTCTTTCTCTCTCTTTCAAATTTCAAAAACGTGCAAACATTAATCTTTTTTCATATGGATTTCGTGTTAAAAGATATCACCGATAATTTTTTTTATATTTTATGTTACCAACATTTCCTACTCGATAATATATTCGTACGTAATTAAAAATTTTAAATGTGTTTAATAATTTTGGATTATTGTATATTACATATAATTATACTTCAATTAACTTATATAATTTATATAGATTGGATTGCCTCTCTCTCTCTCTCTCTCTCTCTCGATAGCCCGAGGTCAAATAATCCCGAGTTATCGACTCATTGCCTCCTTCTATGTTAAGATTCTATATTCTCGCATATAATGCAGAGAAAGCAAAATTGAGGTCAATCTTTTAATTCGTTCAATATTAAGTCAGATGTGGCAAAAAACATTTAATTTATAACATTCATGCGCACAAATAAATTAGCTGTTTAAAAATTTTTCGGTAATTTATATAAAATGAAATCAAACGGAATATATCGTTAAACAAACAGAGAAGCAAAATTCCATTCTAAGACTTAAACGAGAAATCTAAATCTAAATCTTAAACGAGATTAGCGCTAATCTTTATACTTATATCATTTCCGTGACCGCCTGTACGTGCGATGCAGATAAAGAAGAATACCTAATTTTTTATTAGAACCAATGACTGTGGGAGGGGCGTAAAACTGCATTAATAGCGATTATTAAAAATTCACACGTACCAGAGCGATATCGATCGGTCCTCTCAAAGAGAAAGAAAAAGAAAGAGAGAGAGAGAGAGTGCAAGAGATGGCGATGGCGAGCGGAGATGAAAGTGATAACGACGAGCTGTTCAATCGGGCTCGCGTGCGCGTAACGTCATTCGATTACGACCGGCTGTGTGCTTTCAAACACGCCGGACATTCCAGCGAAGCGCCCAACCGTTATAAAACTGAGAGATCGCGAGAGGATCCTCCGCGGATGTAAAATCGAGAAAGATATATTACCTCGTCGACGAACGATCGAGTGACGTACGTACAGTGGGAATAAAACGTTACACAAATGCGTATACGTCAGAGACGAAGACGTGAGGCGTGATGTTTTTGTCGAATTAAAACGCATATTGACGCATATGCATGTATGCGTAGAGGCTGCGGCCGGTCAACGCGGTCCACCTCCTCTCCTCTTCCTCAAGGTTTTTTTTTTTTTTTTCCCTTCCTCCTCGCTATTGCGCGTCGCCGCGTTGCCGTGCTCGCGTTACGGACACACGCAGTCGTGTCGTTGCACGCGCGCAGTTGCAGACGTGTTGCAGTTTTACAGTCGCGCGCGCATTCTCGTCTTACAGCGTTAAACAACATCATCGTCGTCGCTGCTGCTGCTGCTGCTAATGACCAAATGGTACAACGCACTTCGAGACCACGTTTATCCGCAACGCGCCGTCCCGTCGAGAGACCGTCCACGCGCGCGTATACGCGTTCATCAATCATCGTCCGGTTTCCGACGAGTCACACTTCGTCGGAGTATTAAAATTCGCGAGTGAATTCGCCAATCCAGAAGCGCTCCCGCGAGTGTCGAAATACGATACCCATGTCGTGGATAACGATGTCGCGTTTCATCTATATACCTCGCGCTCTAATTGTCCTCTATGCATAATTATCGCCACGAACTGATACGTTTGTCGCGCAAACAATCGTTCGAAAGCAAGGTGAGACCCCGACACTATGCATAACAGTTGTTTAATGAATGAGAAACGAATGTAAACACATACTTTGTGCTCCCTCTTCTTTGCAATTTGTTATTATCGAAATGTATATTTATTTGTGAACTATCTCATTAGTCAGATATACTTAATGAATCGATGTGTGTATTTTCATTAATTCAATATATATAAAAAGTTGTTAAAATATTATTGTATTAAATAGAAATATTTTTCATGATCAGGATTGTCAATCATAAATTCACAATGAGTTCGCAACCGATTGTTGTGCCTGGTGGAGATCATCAGCGTCTACAGGCGGAAACTCATTCTGTACCTCTTGGAAGTTCAGCGGATGCCTTTAAGACTATGACACCGCCGAATGTCAGCAGATCTCTTAGTCGTAAGTGTATATTATTATATTAGATGTTGTTTAACATTCCCATATTTTATTATCAATACATTGAATATGCTATGATATAGATAACATTATAAGATTATTATGTTATAAGATACTTTTTAATGACATTAATTATGGTTATTTATATATCTGCTAATCCTATTGTTTTCAACAATATGTACAAGAAGCAATTAGTTTGTAATATAATAAAATTAAAAGTAATGAGAGTATAATTAAATACAGTAAAAAATTAGAAGCTATTTCTTACTATGTATGACAATTGTATACGCGAATATAAAGACTGCATATATTTTTCTAGAAAAAAAATCATAATTTATGAACTTTATGAAATTATTTGTCATTGACATTTGAACTATATGAATTAAGAATGTAGGTGTATATAATAGTAGCATGCCTCTGCAAAATTGTGTTCTCTGTTATTAAAGTGTTGTAAGATCCAATAAGGTTTATGTAATATTGTCACAAATTATATACAATTCTTCATGTTTATATAATATCAACACTCTTGTATACAAACCACAAAGTTTATGTATGTTATAGTCTGTTGTTATCTATGGATGCATGGTAGTTTCCTTTAAAAAGAAAATTTAATTTATCTTTCAAATAAATTTCACAAGATGCGATGAATATTTTTACAATATTATTACATATTCCAAAATAATTTTAATTGAGGAAAATTAAAAAGTGATGAGAATATATTAATCAATTCGAGATGTAAATATATTTATTAATAGCATATTTCTGTATCTGTTTGATACATTGTAGCTCCCTGATCTGTGATATATCTTACGTATAAAATTAGTTATTATAAACTTGTCAATGAGGATATGTCTGGTACATAGTTATGGCAGCTCATTAATATGAATGAAATACATACTGTAGCAAGCCTGACTGTTGGTAAAATGAAGATCAATACTCTTGAGAGTCTAACAAACTGTTCTCATATTGTAGTAGGAATCCCTAGTACTATAAGCACCGTAGTTTGTTGTGGCATAATAACTTTATGCTTTATGTGACCCACTTTCCACCATTTCTCTCTTTCAATGTACAATGAAGACAATGTGTACACTTTTACACTGAATACTAAAATTCTTACAGATGAAATTAAAAGATAACAAACTATTTCAGTATTTTACATAATATTCTTTATGACAAGTCTCTTTATCATTTAAACATATAAATTACTTCATATACAAAATACGACATATATATATATAAAACTAGATAGCAAACTAGGTAACAAACATGATAAAAACAATGTCTTTAATTTAAACAACTTAATACAGATATTTGTATGTAGAAAGTTTTTACTAAATAAGGTTTGCATTGAGATAACATTTGTAACATTTGTTGTAACCATATGAGTTGGTGTATTATTATCTATATTACATTGATGTATTTTGAATATATTAATTTAGTTTCTAATATGTAATTTGCATTTGTCTGTAAATTGACTGCATGTAACAATTTAAAGTAGCATGCTTTGTTGTGCATGTATAATTCAAGCATGCATATCTTTTTCTCTTTTTTACAGCAAAGTACAACAATATCTTTTATTAAAATTTATCGTAAACAATTATGTATTTTTTTGCATCTTTTATCTTGACTCATTGCAGAAAATAATAATATTGATATTCTTTCTGTTATACTACATGTTAATACTACTTGTGTTTGTAATGTAGGAAATATAAATTCTGACTGTTACATATTATTGAATAATCATTAATTAATCAGTTTTTTGAGACAATTTCTATTTCTAATATGATATAAAATACAATATTAAATACTGTGAGTGCAACTGAATGAATGCTAAATATGTAGAACCAGCGGATCGACAATTTCGACGAAGCAGCGTTCAGGCACAGTCTACACCATTACCTAAACTTCCATCAACAGAGTCCCTTTCAACAAGCGTAAATATTACAGCCAGTGCACCTCCAGTTTCTCCAGGTATAAACCTAGAAATATTTTCGAAAGTAATACATCATTACTATAATCTGGGATAATTGAACAAATTTCAGCAGCTTTCAAAACTTGATTGGCATTACTTTTATTTCTGCAGTATAATAGGTACACATGTGTACTAGAAAAATTCTGAAACCATGTGTGGCTTATAAAGCACTCTTTTCTATGTATCTTTTCTAAATATATGTTTATGTTTTAATTTGTGTAATATTTTTTTATAAGCTTTAAACTTTTTATATAGCAATATTATTTAACGCTTGTTGCACTTTACATGCTTTCTCCACAAAACAAGCTTGCAAGTCTTTATTTAATTAATTATTATTGATATAAAAGTATATGTATATACATACATATATATAAACTTTATTATGTAATCCAGTATAATAAGTGCGATAATACGAATTTGTTTCATTGTATTGTATGAATTATTTTATGAGATTTGCATTCTTTTATAAACCGAAAGGTAATTTTCTCTTAACAAAAATTTATTGCATGTCATCTTTTCCGTAAAATTTGCATTTTCAATATTAAATATTTTTTTGTGTATTAAATATCTTTAAGCATGTGATTTTATTGCAATGAAATCTAATTGGCTTGTGTCTTTGAGAATAATGCACCAAGATCATTGGAAAAAAAAATTCTAAATAAAAATTGGATTAAAATGTGTTCTTAAGACTTGATGCAAATCTTACAAAAAGCGCTTAAATATTAATATAATACTAAAGATAATATTTAAGAGTATTAATTTTTTAACAATCTGATTTTAATATTGTATATATAACTAAAAAATGCGTTAGTAAATAATTATATTTTTAAACAAAAAATGGATAATTTATAATATAAATATAAATCATTTGTGATATACTTATAATACAAATCAAGATAAGTTTTTTTATTATTATACCTATATATGTTGAAAATTATTATTCTATATTTATTTTCTATATGAGATATTTATTTTATAGATCTTACTTCAGACACATGAAGCATATAAAAAGAATATTGATTTTGGCTATATTTGCAGTGTGCATACACACTGAATAAGCTAAATTAAGATTTATGATATATACAAATCAGGACAAAAGAATGATTATCTTGATTTGTTTAATTAAAATGTAGAAAAGTATAACATCTGTGTTACTTTTTTATTATTGTGATCGAGTTAATGTTTGAGTAGAGAACTTTATTTATATAAAATTAAAATGAAATAATATTTTATGTATCTTTTGCATCTTTTTGTTATAGTGTGGTAATTTATTTATTTTCAGAGTGTGTAAGAGCATGCATTATTTTTTCCTAAAAATATAAATCTTGATTTTGTCTTATTAAGTTTAATTTTATAAGAATTTACATATCTTGATAATTTATATATACACTTTAAGGAAACTGTATATAAGTTTATGGAATATAAGAATATATTATATATTATAATATATAAAAGATTTATTAATAAGAATTAATAAATAATTAA